AAGTTGCCATTGACAATTTCCTTTACAGACCATCTAACAAACTTTTTTTGGTTAAATTTCATCTGATGTCCTTTGTTTATAAAACATATATGGAAAAAATTGATAAAAAACTGTTATGATACACTCAGGGAAGTAACAAGTTGTCATGGACCATTTCTTTTACAGACCATCTAACAAACTTTTTTTGGTTCGTTAATGTAAACACTCATAATATGCTTCTTATTTTTTGCTTTTGCTGTTCTATTTTCTGCAGGTACCCTGTTGCTGTTTGGTGTTGTAAACGATTCGCTTAAAGATTTTTTTTTGTATTTTCAGGTACCCTGCTGCTTAAAGGTTTATTATTTACTTTATCATGTATTAGTGCCTTAATCTAATTTTATTCCAGCAAACACTTTCTTTTCATAACTAACTTATCTATGCCTCCATCACGAAAGAGACGTTATACAGTCGATGAACATATTGCATCGTCTAGCAACCATCCTACTGATTCTTTATACATAGACAACGGTGACTGTACCTATGTGTGTGAAAATTGCTATGCCTTATTTTGGTACGATGAGCGTGTTAGTGTAATGTCATCCAATCGAGCACGGTATAATCATTGTTGCAAAAACGGTCATGTCAAACTTCCATTTTCTATGATTCCTCCTCTGTCGTTGGTCACTTTATTCGATCAACCTGAATTTCTTGCCGATATACGTGCTTACAACAGTATGTTTGCGATGACGTCTTTTGGTGCAAAAGTTGATGAGTCTATAAACATTGGCTCTGGTCCATACGTTTTCAAAATTGAAGGTCGGGTTTATCATTAGCTTGGTTCGTATTGTCCTCCACCTAATGAACGCCCCCGGTTCTTGCAAATGTATATATACGACACTGAAAACGAGGTATCTAATAGGATGAGCTTCTTTGCTAGTGAAAACCGAACACCCTTAAACTCTGGCATTGTCACTCTACTTATTCAAATTCTTGACAATACTAATAAACTGGTTAGACTTTTTAGGAACGCACGGGACCTTTGTCGTTCTTCTGATATACCGACTTTTTCGATTCGTCTATACAATTCCTATAACTCTTCGCGTTATGGCAATCCTACTCCAGGCTGTATAGGTGCAATTTTGAGTGACTTAGATCCCGAGTCTGACGGTTACGACATTGTTATACGTCACAGGGTCAACGGACCTCAACGAATAAACACTCTACATCCGTTGTACATGCCCTTGCAATATCCTCTATTGTTTATACATGGTGAAAGCGGTTGGTCTCCTAAGAGGCGGTCGCCTTTTTCAACAATACATTGTTGATGCGTATGCTTGCATAGAACAAGATAGACTTAATTATTTTTGATATAATCAAAATGCCCTTCGAAATGAATTCCTTTAGGGTATACATGATGCGGTTATGCGTGGTGATAGTAAAGGAAAAGACATCGACAAACGAATTTTTTTGCCATTGACATTTACTGGCGGTCCTCGCTATATGTATAAACATTATCAAGATGCATTGGCGATATGCAGAATTCATGGAAATCCACAGTACTTTATTACATTTACATGTAATGTCAAATGGACAGAAATTTGTAGATACATGGATAGATTTCCAGCGTTAAAAGCCGAAGATCGTCCAGATATTATAGCAAGGGTCTTTCACATGAAATTGCTTTCCTTAACGAACTTTCTCAAAATGCAGAAACCATTTGGAAAAGTTTCAGCAGGTAATCTATTTATTGATTACCAGATGACATAAATGATTCCGTTTATACCAGTAATTTGCATTTTCAAATTAATTTTTTTTCCTAATGTGGATCTATACACAATAGAATTCCAAAAGAGAGGTCTTCCTCACTGCCATCTCTTATTATGGATTGATCACCCAAATAAGATAAAAGACGCCAGCCAACTGGATGAATACATATCTGCGGAGATTCCAGATCCAATTACCGACCCAATTCTATATAGGATAGTAACTGAATCTATGATGCATGGACCTTGCGAAAAAGCAAAAGATGACGCCCCATGCATGTCTACAGGATCATGCTCAAAGAAATTCCCAAAGGAATATCAAATGGTATCTACATTTGACAAAAATGGTTACGCACGTTACAAGAGACGTCGAACTTCTCACTTTGTCCAAAAGAATGGAATTTTCTTAGATAACAGTTACATTGTGCCCTACAATCCAGCTTTGTTACTGCATTTTCATGCCCATATAAATGTTGAATACTGTGGATGGAATATGCTAATAAAGTACCTCTTCAAATACATATCGAAAGGAGCTGATCGTATAAAATTCGCTATTACAAAAAATCCCTCTACCATTGCTGATATTAGGACAAATGCTCCTGTTGAAATTGATGAAATCAAAAACTTTGTAGATAGTAGATTTATCTGTCCTCACGAAGCGGCATGGAGAATTTTTGATTTCATAATACATTATTGAAATCCTCCCGTACAGGTACTTTATCTAAAACCACAATATTTGCTTACAATTTTAACAACATTACCTGATCACCCACAGTGTCTTTTTAAGGTCCTTGCTGTTCATCTTGAAAACATGCAAAACGTCACATTCAGAGACAATGAACAGCTTCACAATGTCGTGTCTAATCCATATGCAAAAGCCACTACTTTAACAGAATGGCTTGCAAATAATAATATTGATGCCAACGGACGCGATCTATGCTATGTTGATTACCTTTCTGAATACTGATGGGTGCAAAACGGAAAACACTGGAAACGTAGAGTCACAGACAGAACACCAGCTATAGGTCGACTAATATATGTCCATCCATCCGCTGGTGAGGCATTTTACCTCCGAATAATGCTGTCACATCAAAAAGGTTGTCATTCCTTCGAGGACATAAGAACCGTAGGTGGTGAATTACTTCCAACATTTCGAAGTGCATGTGAGAAACTTGGACTGCTTGGAGATGACAACGAATGGTTCACTGTAATTGAAGAGGCTGCTGCATGGGCAACCGCTGCTGAATTAAGATCTTTGTTGACTCATATGCTTTTGTTTTGTGAGATCTCTAATCCTAACCAGCTTTTTCAGCAACAGTGGAAGAAATTTGCTGACGACGCATCATATACACAACATATACTCAATGATGAAGACCAAATGCAATACGTTCTGTATGAAATTGAATTATTATTACGTTTAGGAACGTCAGCTACCTCATTGTCAGCGTTCGGATTACCCATGCCAAAAGCAGAAATGCTAGCAGCTTTAACAAATAGACTCCTCATGGAAGAGAAAAATTACGATAGGAAAAAACTAACAGAAGACCATGACTCATACTGTGCTACTCTTCACCCAGAACAGAAGCTTATATATGAATATGTGATGACGAGTCTGAGAAGGAACGAACAGGTTTTGTCCTTTGTATATGGACATGGTGGCACTGGAAAAACCTTTCTATGGAAAACATTAATTTCCGGTCTACGTTCCAAAGGGAAGATTGTTCCGGCAGCTGCTGCATCAGGTATTGCGTCGTTGTTACTCCCTTCAGGAAGAACGACTCATTCACGTTTCAAAATACCGCTAGATCTTACTGATAGTTCATTGTGTAATATAAAGAAAAACACACAGCTCGCCCAACTACTAATAGAAACAACACTCATAATTTGGGACGAGGCACCAATGAACGATCGTAGGTGTTTTGAGTCCTTGGACAAAAGCCTGAAGGATCTAACAGGCTGTACGGATCAACCATTCGGTCATAAATCAATACTTCTAGGAGGGGATTTTCGCCAGATGCTACCTGTTAAATGCAAGGCATCAAAAACAGAAATCCTAAACTCATCCTTGCCTAGATCACATCTGTGGAAATATTTCAAGGTTTACAGATTAACTGAAAATATGCGCTTACAAAGACCAAACATAGATATAACAAGTACACTTGAGGTGGAAACATTCTCACAATGGTTACTTGCTGTCGGAAACGGAGAATTAGGCATCCCTGAAAATGATGGCCCATGCAATGCCAAGAAAATCGAAATTCCGCCACAATACATGATACCTCCACATGTTTCAGCACTCCAAGAACTAATCGGATTCATTTATGACAATATTACTCTTGAAAACCCAACAATACTAAATCTTTCTGAAAAAGCAATAGTGTGTCCAAAAAATGAAACTGCCCATGAAATAAATATGATGGTTCTGAAGAAGACGGCTGGAAATAGCAAAATTTACTTAAGTACGGACTCAATAATCCTAAACGCTGGTTGTGACGGTGATTCCGGCCTGCTGTATCCACCTGAATACTTACACATGTTAAACTTCAATGGTATACCACCACATCAACTCGAATTGAAGATCAATGCTCCCGTTATACTTATGCGTAACATTAGTCCAATTTATGGCCTATGCAACGGAACAAGATTGATAATTACACAACTTTTATCAAGAGTCATTGAGGCAGAGATAATGACTGGAACAGCAATAGGCCGTAAAGTTTATATACCCCGCATCACTTTGACGCATACAGATAACGAGCTTCCATTTACTTTGAAAAGGAAACAATTCCCGTTGAAACTTTGTTATGCAATGACAATAAACAAATGTCAAGGTCAATCACTAAAAAAATAGGCATCTATCTTCCACAACCTGTTTTTGGCCATGGTCAACTCTACGTAGCACTTTCAAGAGCAACATCTCCACAATCCCTCAAACTTCTAACTATTCCACAACCAAATGAACCTGCAAACTTAACCAGAAACATAGTTTATTCAGACCTTTTAACAGAAATAGATAATACTTTTAACCATAATTAAACAAAAGTCAAGGCCAATCGCTAAGAAAAAATAGGCATTTATCTTGCACAACCTGTTTTTGGCCATGGTCAACTCTACGTAACACTTTCAAGACCAACATCTCCACAATCTCTCAAACTTCTAAGTATTCCACAGCCAAATGAACTTGCAGACTTAACTAGAAACATAGTTTATATAATACTTTTAACCATATGTTAAGTACCTGTATAGCATAACCAAGGTAAACCTATTATCAAACATATGTCCTACGCATGCTACACTGTCTAATTGTAATGTACTTCTGCTAGGTTATTCAAATATATCAAACCTATTTAGTATATGATTAATGTAATTATACTATGCCTTTACCTGCTAATGACCATTTTTGTTTATTTTCTTCCGACAGAACAAAATGTATTGGATAGCAGATGTCAAGCCTAATGAAGAACCCATACCACTACGAATCAGAGTTATCAAAAAGTGGAAAACACGCACTACTGAACAAGATTTATGCTATCTGTTTGTAGACAGACATGTACGTCTCCCGTTACACATATGATAAAATATTGATTTCACATACGTATACATATATAAAAAATTCTATTAATCTATTACAGGGAGATGCTATAGAGGCAGTAGCCGACCCAAGGAAAGAACAATCTCTAGATGACAAAATGACAGTAAATCTATGCTACACTGTAACTGGATATGTTGCACTCCCAGCCAGAAAATCCAGGAGGGTGGTCCAGCATGATGCATCTGTACGTCTCGGCGACACAGCCCTCTTCGAACCTCTCTGTGACCCAGACATCCCATCCTACTTTTATGATTTTGCTACATACGACATCCTCCTGGCCAGAAAATTAAAACCCAAAACAATTAAGCGGTAACAACAACCTTTTTTAAAATTAACAAAAAAAATATACTCACATTTGACCTCAAATTTGTCAATTCGTTTTATGCAGACTATATAGGTCGTGTTGAGACAATATCTCCTCCACTAATCCGAAAAGCAAAAAGAATAAAAAAAGTTAAAATACAAGACCAATGGTTAGTACCTTCCAATATTGAAATGTAGCATACAACGACAACATTCACAAATTCATATTTTAGTAATCACCACTAACAACAGGGCAAACATAATGGAAATCACTTTTTGGGATGAATCCATCTTCCCATATCAGAAAGAGGAAGCAGTTGGCAAGGTTCTAGCAGTTACTGCTACATTGGTAACTGAATATCAAAGTATATACAAACCCTTTTCCTTACTTTACTTTCTTAAACGAATACATGTGTCATTAGTTGTCCAACTACTAACTACTTCCAACAGACAACTTGCAGTTGGAAACTACAGAGGCAACATCAGCGTTCCTCAACCCGCAAATCCCAAATTTACAAAGTATAACTGACAGGTACACAACTACGTACCCTTTACATATATACACTCTAATGCCAAAGTTACAAGCTCAATAAATCTTCAAACTACAGATTCAATCAGCTCAAACACCCAACAGATGTGCAACAAAACCAACAAACCATGTCCATCCATCAAATAGTAAACAAGTTCAAAGAAGATCCAATGGTATGGACTAACTTATCACTGTTACTCTTAAAGTCTTACAATTCATCAGCCTAATATACTAAATAAATATGAAACGCAGCATAACAAGTTTACCTACACAGCAAATGTCACAGAAATCACATTGCACCGAAAGTGGTACTATGTTACATGTCCGCGTTGTCCAAAAAAATTATTCCTACAAAAAGGAATAATCCCACGGTTTGTATGTGAAGACGATGGCTATGTTCCTGAACCAATTTTCATGTAAATCTCATTCCAACTTGAAAAAATTATACTATTCTTTTACATCATCCTTTACATTAACCGTTACTATTTTCAAATGACCAGGTATTGTGTAAACACAACAATTGCAGATGAAAGTACAAATGCAAAAGCTATATTCTTCAATGATGCCATGACACAAATGCTTGAAAAAAGTTGCCACGACATGGTCATCACACATGGACATTCAGACCCGGACATAATTCCTTCAGAAATACTCGACATACGAGGAAAAACTATGGTCTTCGATGTTGCTATGAAGAAGGACGGAACAATGGCAATTAACAAGGCAATACCACAAACGGCACTCGAACCGGTAACACCAAATCCCAAGGCAACAGTAAAAAGACATCCGCCATCATCACAGGGTATACATACTTGCTTATCGCATTTTTTAAGTGTGTTACATGTAACATACATTTAATTTATTTTAATGCACTTGTAGCACTTGACATGCCGCGTAAACAAAAGAAATGTTAGATACAGCTGTATGGATTTTGATGCGTACCAAAGGAGGAATTTTGACAACGACAAACAAGAGATGGACCTGTGCTCCTCAATCATAGGATAAGGCCAAAAGAAAAGAGGCAGCACCTTTTGTATTTTGCAACTATATCCTATAATTGTAGTTAATTGTCGTATCGTTCGTACCTCCCGAAACTGCACGTAACTTTTTAAATGTATGAATGTATATAACTTCTATATACTTCCTATATAATTCTTTGCCCATCATAACAACCAACTTTCTACCATTTCTTAAATACATCACTGCCGCCGCAACGCGCGGCACGGGTAAAATTCTAGTTTCTTCATAAATGCTTTGATAGCATCTTTATCACGTTTTTCTGGGAACAAATTCCGCAACATCATTCTTCAAAAAAGATACTATGATTTTAAAATAAGCATAAATATTTTTTTAAATGACCATGAATTTAGGAATGTCATACTTCTCCCTTAAAAGGAGGGATCGACTAAAAAAATCCATGTCTTATACTCTTGTCATAATACCTTCTTTCAACAAAAAACTATCTAACTTGACCGTCAGAGCCTCATTCCAAGATTCCCTCCCGGACGACGTCTGACGATCTTGTTTTCTTTGTTGTGATTTGCAGGCTTACCACTTTCACCTCTTAAGGAGTCGAATTTAATTCGGAGACTTATGACAACAGTTGGCACCATCCGGGCGTGCACTCACTACTACACAAGCCATCCAAAGAAATTAGGTGTCAGAAACGAAGGACGAAGGACCCAAACGATCAGACGGTGGTGACACCAGCCCAGTCAGACCAATGTAGCCCCTCGACGGGAGCGGTCCGTTAACATTGGAAGAGCAACCACCCTCTCAAACACTGAAACTATTGGTAGCCGGGTCTGCGGTATAGTTCATTGCTAGTATATGGTGACCGCTGCCACTCGCAATAGAAAAACCAGCCACAAACACCCACCACAACGCCTCAAAGAGCTCCGACCAACCAATCAAAACCAATAGCGAATAGACCTCCAACACCATTGTGATAGATGGGAACCAACACCTGGTCGCCTGCTACAATTGTACCCACTACGCAACTACCATCCTCAGGTCACTAGTCTTCTCCAATGGCCGTCATGTCGCACAACCGTTGTTCTCACATCAACCTGCGTTCAACCTACACTCTTGCCAATAAAGAGACGCATACCTCCAAACAACATAGTCGCAAATTCACAACAGTCAAGGCACACCAGTGTAGGAGACGGTCTTACACACCACGGGGCCAACGAAGTCAAGTTCATAACCGAACCAATTGATGTACACATACTCCATGTAGGAACCATATATACCACAATTAACCATGTACAACCATGGGTACTAATAAGGGTATGGACAATGATACAGCAACCCATACCATGAATAGTAGATGATGGATGGTGGAGCATTCGCCTATCCACACATGGACAACCTGATCACGAGCATCAGCTCAACATTCTACCGAGAGCTCTTGTATTACAAAATATCTCATTTCTCCATGATCTCAAACATTCCAAAGCATGATGGCACAACAAATCCGGATGGGCACATAGATACCTATGAATGGACAATGACATCACTACGGACGGACAAGAGGTTCATCTATAGTTACTTCCCAGTTATACTGTCAGGAAATGCTAGCAAAAGGTTTAAGGTGTTGCGTACGAGAAGTATCTCCAACTTTGAATAGTTGAGATATCTATTCCACAACATTTTTTTGCAATTAAGGAAAATCAAAGGAGATGCCAACTCCATTCGAGTGTACTACAACCGGTTAACCCTCAAAACCCTGAGCATCCCCGGTCATGAAAAGTTCCTAGTCACCGCCGCTTTCACCCAGGGATTGCTCCCAGGCCCTCTGTCAAGGAAGATACAAGGAATAGTGCCAAAATCTAGGGATGAACTGAAGTATAGGGTCGAAAACTACCTCGGGAAAATCGAGGGGGGAGAATGCAAAGAAGCCAACCTAAAAGTCGTATCGAATGCATACCTCAAACAAGACATTCATCCCTTAGGTTTCGCCCATTCGTTAAGGATGAGCCCAGGAGCCAAATGCCATAAATTCATACCATTAAAAAAAAACCTCAGCGAGTGGAATAAGAAAAAGGGAAGTATTGCAAATACCACAAGAGCAAAACCCACGACACTGGGGAATGCACGATTCTCAAAAGCGAAGTAGCGGACAAGAAATTGAATGGAGATCTCGTGGAGATAGCAAAGACACTAAGATCAAAATTCGAAGCCGAACAAAAATATGGGTGAACCTGAAAGGAAGCTAATAAACAACCAATAAAAAGGAAGACATCTACACAATCGCGAAGCCCCGGAACAAAACCAGGCGTCGATTGGCAAACAATAGCATCGACACCCTACCTGGCGATACTCAGAACAGATGTTTCTGACCTGGAGACTTGAAAATACCCGATTAGGATCCCACAGACTCGGTCTTAATCTCCGGCGACATCCAACAACATCAGATATGGTGAGTCTTGGTCGACGGTGGCAGTAGCATCGACGTCCTCTACAAGTACTGTCTCGAATGACTCCCATCACCTTGGAACAAAATCTAAAACCATCGACCCGAGCACCGCTTGTTGGATTCACAGGACACAAAATGTGGCTACTCGGAACCATAAACTGACCATTGACACTACTCAACCACGATGGGAAGGAAAAGGTAATAAGGGTAATCAAATTCTCAGTAGTAAAATACATGTATAACGACGATATGATCGTTAGGTGTCCAACCCTTTTCCGGCTCCAAGCTATCCCCTTAACAACACGTTTTATAATAAAATTCATGACCACCAATGGCTCGGCAACAATGACCGCTCTCAACCCACTAGAAAAGCAACAACGGGCGATTTCCGCCTAGGACACTATGAAGATACCAAAAAGGCGGCACACAAATAAAATTACCACCTAGATCCAACATAGGAGGAAAAGCTGTCACCCCCACACAAGCAGCCCAGGGGAAGAAGGGCATGATATAAATAACATCACCATGCCATGAACAACAAGGATAGTCAGTATGAGCACTAGGCGAGGCTGGATACCGCTAAGCCTACCAGCATCCCGCCACATGACGAAAGACCAGAGCACGAAAAAAGAGGAAACAACGTGGCATAAGCGCAAACTCACGCAGCTCGACCAAAACACAACGGGGAAACCACTAAAGCCAGTACGGAGAGGATATATAACTACCCCAGAAATGAAGACAACAATAGGAGACCCACCACAACTGTAAGGGTCCACTACTAGCAAACGCTTCTTTAAGGACGATCTATAGTTGGGAAACTTGTAGACAACAGAGTAAGCATCAAAACACAAAGGAGCAAAGGGCCATAATAACACAGACACATACTTCAAACAAGATGAACTCATCCCCATAGGATGACCCGATAACCAGAACCGGGCTATAGAGAAAATTGAAACTCATCCTCTAAAAGAAGGCCAAACCAAAAATAGAAAATCATGGCCTGCATACAAGCGCGAACATTGAAGAGCTCATAGACACAAGCCGTCGAGGGACACAAACCAATAAAGGTCAAGAAGAAGAATTCACTCTGATAGCTTGGGAGTGCCATCTTAGGAGCTAGGCCTAGAATAGCACACCTCAAGTGATCAAACTATTAATGAATAATCACACCCTAACGAGCCAGCCTAGGAGCTAGGCCTAGAATAGCACCAACTATCCTAATACCTATCTAATGAAGTAGATGTCTCCAAGACACTTAAAAATATGCAATGAAAAGTATCGATTTGAAACACATGTTTATTAACATATATACATACAAATGGAAAACAAAGATAGACGGATCATCCGCGTCATTTACGTGAGATCATCACAAAACGCACAACCATAGGCCTCAAAGGCTCACAACCTTCCCCTAATAAAACACTGCTCTGGCTAAGGATGGTGTGAATTAGGATGTGGAATCAATAGAGGATATGAATGGTCATAACCTTTGCCTCGCAACAAAAACAATATCTAAGCATCAAATCCTCGGGATGACAATCCTAGCATAGCCTAGATAATCAAACTTGGAGGCTGGGGCTTCAGGAGCCTGAAGCTCCGAATAAAATTATGAAAGGAAAAAAATAGGGGAAGAGAATTGAAGGGAAGTAACCAAAATGGGTTACCCTCGCTTAATAGAGAAAACGTCCTACCAATCTCTCACTTAACACAAATTAAAACTGGAACATCAACACATAGTAGCATTACTAGGTATGACCAGGATCCAGGAAAGAACTCAGTCGTGTGGTGGCCAATATAAACCCCTAGGAATCAAACCAAATAAAACACAAGCAAATCACAAACAAAGTACAAAGCTATATTTTTTCGAAAAATAAAACAAAGTGTCTACCATAAAAATCTATGACTTAGATAGAGAACACACATGGCCATTAAAAAATGAATAATTGACATTGTCACAGTTGTTCACCAAATAAAAACCATACAAAATAAAACATTATTTGGGTATCACTGAACAAAGGAAATTTACACATAACAAGGGAGATAGCAGAGATCATATACCCGGTACAGGGGCGGATGGTCCGACCCTGATACTACTTCATTCAGGGCATTCTCCTTCAATATTAGGGTCACTGCATAATAGGAAAAAACCCTCAATATCTAGCTCTCCAAGGTGGAGGTAGGAGAAGAAATCGGTCTCCAAAAAAGACTTCAAATTATTATGCATGGCTTAGGTATATTCTACAAGGGCGCATGGCTCGCTAGGTACAAAATTCCCTACAACATGTTCCCTGATTACTTTCTTACCACCCTCTACCCCGTCAACAATACATGTAGGCTTCATTCGATTAACCTCAAGTGTGAACTCGAAGGTCTCAATCAATTTATCCACAATACGAAAAATCTCTCTTTTTAGAAGCCAAGACAAATCCGTCTCCACATTCTCCCTCTTCACCTTCTCCATATCCAATTTCACACAACACTCCTTGATGCGACCCTCCAATGCCCCTTTTTCCTTAACCAACGCCCCCATACACTGTGACAAATGCTCCACGGATCCATCCAACTTTGCAACCTGTTCCTCCAAAGAGGCCTTCTCCCTAGCCAAACGATCATAATGGCCATCAAACACATGATTCTCTCCCTCCAACTCCGGTACCCTCGCTTTCATCCCTATCAGATCTAATCGAAGCAAGCTCACCAGAACTCGACTTGTCCTAACAAAGGTGACGAGCAGTCACCACCATG